TTTTAGCTCAGAAAAAGTTGCATCTGAGATGTTTGATAAAAGTCTTGAAATAGGTTCAGCTGGGTTAGTTGGTGAAGAGGGTGGAAGAAAGTTGGGATCTTTGGGTCAAGAAAAGGTTGAATTGGTAGGAGGTGAGAAGGGTAGTGAAACGGGTTGTCAAAGGTTTTGTGATAAAATTAAGGTTGAAGAGGGGATAGATGGGGTTGACGGTATCAAGTCGGGAGGCCTGGGATGTTCTATTGAGGAAGAGATGGGGAAAGTTAGTTTGGAGGGAGGTTGGAGCGATCCAGATTCTGTTTTTGGCGGTTTGACTGGTGTAAAGCAAGGTGGAGAGGGTTGTGACAATGGAAATAGTGAGGATGATTGTGGTTGTGATGTGGTGAAAAGTGTTGAGGCAAACATTAGTGGTACTGGTGGTAAGGAGATCGGTGTTGTTGAAAATTTTGGCGCGAAGACCACTAAAACAAGTGAGATGATGAATGCAGATAATACTGAAGAAAAGAGTGGTAAGAATGCGAGTGAAGGAGATGAGAGTGATAGTACTAGTGACTCAGAGGGTGAAAGTGACAGTGAAATTGAAAGTTCATCTTCATCTTCCTCTTCCTCTTCCTCATCATCCGGGAGTAGTGATGATGATGACGAAGATGAAGTCGATGGCAAGGAGAAGTGGGGAAGTAGCAAAGAAAGAAAAGGACAAGATATAGAGATGGAAGAGGGTGAGATAGTCGCATCTGACCCAGAAGAGATGGTGGCCTGGAGCGGTGACGATGAATATGACGAGGATGAGGGTGGCAGTGGCGTTTCCACGTTGGGGCCTCCTAAGTCCAAAAATGAACTCACGGTAATCTTATTCTTCTCAATCAGCTTGGTCACATTTGTGCTTCGATGTATGTTTGCATTAACCCGCCTCTCTCTCTCTCTCTCTCCAAAGAAAAACAACAAAACACAAAAAAAAAGACAGGTGATCAAAAGAACATTCCCAAGGAGGGAAAAATTGGAGATTCTCCAGTAGAACTGTACCATAATCATTCTCTCTCTCTATTCATTATATATATATATATATATATATATATATATATATATTTTTTTTTTTATATTTATAGTACCAACTAGCCAAGATTTTGTGTCTTCAGAGTTACTTATTAAATACCACTTTGATCATTTTCGATCTAGCGCAGAAGTGCCCTTGCCATTAACAACATGATGCTTATAACTATTAAGGCTCCTCTTAATCCTGTAAATTGTACTTGGAGAGTTGAAAATCCTCAACTTGAATTGTGGGGTTTGAAGCAAGCTATTTAAGTTTAAACTTTGAAGAAAGTGGCTAGTGTATGACACGTGGACTAAATTTCTTGATTTTTACCCTGCTTTCTTCTTATTGATTATGCTCTAAATTTTGTGTTCATGGATTATTGCAGACACATTTAAACAATTAGTTCACTTTGTAAATCTTTCTTCTGCAGCTTCTTCCTCCAGTTCCTCCAGTGAATGTGGCCCTACTACCACACCATAAGATCCAGCCAGTTGGAGTTGTTTTATCGGTGAGATCATAGAAGCAAGTAGCAATTCAATCTAAAAGCTAGTTGCAAAGGACACATTGTGAAATGCTGCATCACTTTGTTTTTTTCCAATAATTATCTAGCATAAAATGCAGATGGTGACTTAATCAAATATGTAATAGTTTATAACTAACTCTCCTAGCATACAGGTGTTGGGGGCTCAAGTCATTGTAGAAGGGGTTGAAAAACATAATCCTCTCAATGAGGGCTCTATATTGTGGATTACAGAAAGCAGGTCCGCACTGGGGTTAGTGGATGAAATTTTTGGTCCAGTGAGGAATCCTTACTACATTGTTAGGTACAATTTAGAAAGTGAAGTACCTGCTGGAATCCGACCAGGCATTTCAATATCTTTTGTTCCAGAATTTGCAAATCATGTCCTCAATGATAAGAGTCTTTACTCAAAAGGATATGATGCATCAGGAGCAAATGATGAAGAATTATTTGAAGAAGAAGAATTTTCAGATGATGAGAAGGAGGCTGAGCACAGAAAAATGCAGAGGAACAAGAAAAGGGGCACCAATGATAATAAAATTGGAAACCTGAAAAAGGATGAAAAGAGATTTGGAAATTGGTCTAGGAACTCGAAATATGATTCTACAGTCAACAGACATTTACCTATGGAGGGAGCTAAGCGACAAGTTGACCACAGTAGCCATCATGTTCCCCCTGCTGTTGTATCGCAGCATCAAGGCAATGGGTTACACTCCTTGAGCCTAGGACAAGGTTCAACTTGTCAACCTGGGCTGGCTCCTCCATTTGTACAACTGGCATCAACCGCTGGTTTTAGTGCGTTGTCTGGAGGGGCTAATGGCATTGCGTTCCAGCAGCCTCAAACTGTTGGCTTTCCTGGATTACCAACAAATGGCATGCCAACAGTGAGAAATCCTTATTATGTGGGAGGGTGCAACTCGGAAAATGAGGCAGAGTATGGTAAAACACTGAAAAATGAGAATATGCGTAGAAATGATGACAAATTCGATAACCAGAAAAAGGATCGATTGCAATTGGGAAATTGGTCCGGGAATTCGAGGAAAGATCCTGCAGCTAACCCACAGGGATCTCTGGAGAGAGGTAAACTACCATTTGATCACACCAAGCATCATGTGCCCCCTTTGGCTCCACCACCAGATCAAGGCAATGGGTCATTCTCTGGTCTGGGACAAGGTTTGGCTTTTCAGCCTGGTTTGGGTTCTCCATTTGTCCAACTTTCCTTGGGCTCTGGTTTTAGCGCAACTTCTGGTGGGGCAAATGCAATCCCATTTCAGCAGCCTCTAAGTTTTGGCTTTCCTCAGTTACCCGTAAATGTTAACCCATGGGTGCAACAAATTAATCAGCTTCATCAAATGCCTTCGCAGAACATATTGTCGTTCCAACAGCAAATTAATGCTAGTCAAAATTTGCCTTCTAACCTGGTTATATCAGGCATGCAGTCAGGTTTTGGTGCAGAACCTTCATGCTCGAGTCAAAATGCATTTCACCGTTTACCATTTGGAGTGACTACACCAGGTCAACAGGCCTCCCTCCCCATAAATGTAGGAGAACAGGCAGTTCCAGTAAACATGTCTGAGACAATGCACAATTATGAACCACAGCAACTTGCATCTTTTACTCATAAACGGGACACATACCGAAGCATTAGTCATGGTAAGCATTATCGTGGAGGTAGAAAACCAAATCGTAGGGGTGGTGGTCAATTTGGAGGTGGAAGGGGCAGGCAACAACATGGCTAAGTTCAGTTCGTTGATTGGTTTCATGGCTTTGTGCATTGGCTTAGTTATTTAATCTGTATTATGCATGTTTCTGTGGATGCTACTTGGTTATTAAGTGTCAGCTTGGGTTCATAGAGAACATAGTCTTGCTTGCTATGGCCGTATGATGGCGTCCTCTGTGTTGTTTGTACAATTTGTGCAACTTAGAATCCATTAGTACTTTAATGACTCTCTCTAGCTGCGCTTGTGAATGTGTGCAGGTAATAGCAGATTGACTTTGAATTATCTTTTCACCAATGAATTGCATTATATAAGTTTGAACCGAAAGCTCTTTTTGAGTATCTCATGTTTGAGTTCTATTCATTAAGTTACTTGAACAAGGCTCGTGTTTGTTTGATAATTTTCGAACTCGAAATCTCTGTTCATGTTCAGTTTGTTAATTAAAATCCTAGTTCGAGTTTGACTCATTTAGCATAAACGAACCGATTTTGAACAGGCTTGAGAAGCTCGAATTCAGGCTCTTTCTCTCAAATAATCAATAGATTCAACACTAAATTAACCATATAACCCTAAATTTTGTGAAATGACAATTAGGCTTCACCAATGATGTCAATGTTTGTTCGAATTCAACTCATAAAAAATTTTGAACAAGTCGTTATCGAACACAAATGAACCTAAACGAGTCGAGCAATCGAGCAGTTCAACTTGCATAACTTCACTAGGGAGGAGGGGTGTTGAAATAGAAAACGTGGATCTCATTCTTGGCCATTGGCCGAAGTAGGAATTTGTAGCTTGTTAACACACTGTTGACTAACATTAAGCGAAGTGCTCGCGTGATTACTAAATGTCATATTGGACAAGTTCTTCATCATCTATGAGATTCTATGTAATGGTCTAGCTCTTAGTACATTGTAACAGATTCTTACACCGTGGAATTGTTTGACAATTCTTAGATTTCAAAATATTTTACATGAAATGTTTCAAGTATGTCTTCTTATATCATATGTAAATGGGAAGCTCACTTTGATTGCCTGCAAACCGCAAAAAGATCATTAACAAGAAAGTACCTCAAATGAATGTGGAACAGAATTGGAAATTCTAGTTAATTCGCAATTGATTTGTGTTCTACATGCTAAAAACATCTGCAGTATCTGATACAGCTTTGGATGTTAAACAAAAGCCTTTCATAACTGCAAATCCATGTCTGGAATTGAGACATTCACTAGGATTGAAGATAACAGAAACCTTCAGTACTCCAAATGCCTGCCTATCGTGGAGATAGCCAAACCGAGCTTACTTCAAGTTAGATCAAGATGAAAGAGGACACTTTTTATTATTGTAGTAAGCAGAAATGGAGAAACTTAGTGAACTATTTGCGGGTGAAAGAGTAGAACATTGTTTAAATTCTTAAGTTCCCCATAGAAGCAGCGGAACTCACTGAAGAAAGAACAAGATAGATTCTCTGTCAGTTTGAAGTACAAGTAGATTAGAGCCAGCAGCCTGACAAGGCTCTTCCTTGGCCAATAACAACAGCAAAATTTTGCAGATGAAGCAATAGATTAAACCTTCAATTAGGCATGCCTGGCGCCTTACTTGAGCTAGCATTACATATCATGCTTCAGCAATTTATCACTCTAGTGATTCAAGTCTAGCTTTTACCGTGATCATACACAGATGGAAAGATGGAAGTTTTAAACATAAATTAACCCGATAAATGAAAGACTAGATATAAAGAATCAATTTTCCTCTTAATTATGCTATGGCGAGCAACGGAGTGATATTGTAATACTTCAAAATATTGATCAGTCAACAAAAACACAGCAACCTGTGCTGAAGACTGAAATTTAAATTGGATCTAAGAGAATGTCAGAGAGCTTTCTGTGAATATCAGCTAAGGTTTAATTAAGAAATGATTGGTAGAACATCTACCAAACAAAATGGAAATGTAAGCATTTGAGAAGGGATGTATTGGTGAGATTGCTAACTTAAGCTTTTGCATTCCTAGTGAAATCAGAGCAAGTCTGGCAGCTGCAGTCTGAAAACCTACAGATTTCACAACCAAAACAGACACAAGACGTGCAACCCTTGCATGTTGGAGATCGGGAACAGCCCCTGTAGACCCTGCGACTTGCTCTTTCTTCATCCTCTTCACATGTAACCCTGAAATATAGGTTATGAACACAAGTATGCACATGGTTTAGCATTCCAAGAAAAAGAAAAAGGGCAAATGCACGTAAACATTAATATGCATCAGGTAGACAAGGAAGCATCAAATGTTTTCCATTTTAACTACTTGAAAATCTGTTTATGAGAACTTTGCTAAGATCTTTTTTACCAAAACTTTGATCATCAAGAAATATACACATTCATATCTGCATCACCAGTATATATCCTATCAAAGTCCTATATGTATACTCAAGCATAATTGCTCCATCTTGATTGGTTAAAGAGAGCCAAGGCTTACATCTAATGAAGCCCCAATATGTGCCAATAATCTCTTTGCCTACTTTTTCTTGGAAGGTCAACTAAGAAGGACTATTATAGCTCAAATTAGGCCAGCGTCATGCCTATATTGGATACATCATGGTAAAAAAGTTACCATACGTGCAATCAAGACAAATCAGAAAACAAAACCAAAAGGTGGGAACTGATTTAAGCCAATCAGGTAGGACTCTGAATAAAACAGGCTCTGAGTTTCCCCAATCAACCCAAAGAACACAAAGAAATGTTTCACAAGAAAACGACAGAGAACATTAAAGTGGAGAGTCCATTAATTCACAATTAGATGCGAAAGCCGTCTACAGGCAGACAAATTTCATAGTCAAAAAAAAAATCTACCACTTAATTTAGTTTAGAAGCATTTCCAAATCACACTGATTTTTTAGCTGTTAGTGAGATATAAAAACATTTAGCATCCAAACTTGGCAAAAAAGCTTCGAAGGTTCAAGTTAACCTCCAAAAAGTCTATGCCCCAACCGGCAGTATGCATTTCCTTGACCACATCTAATTATGTCATGTTATAACATTTTTTCACAACTCATTCAATTTGACCAATCTATGGATATAATCCTCAAATACAAAATCTCAGTTGGCCCCAAAGAGAACCTCCATGCTTATACCCAACTGGTTGCCTTTCAGGGAGTTGCCTATTTTTCTTAAAAGGAAGGCCGGAGTAAAACAGCATCAGTTCTTGCCCTTTTCCACCAAGATTTATCTATTCTTTAAAAAGAGATAAAAGTTACTCGATTCACAAGCGAAATGTTAGTTTCTATGTATGGCCATCTCAACCATGTGATTGTCCATATAACATCTTTAAATTTCCCATATAAATCCCAGTCTTCCTAACATGATGATTTAGTGATCTAGTTCATGTTAAGTGTTTCGAAATCTTTAGTTATAGCTGTATGAAACAAGAATGACAAAAACAACTATTTAGTTAACATGAAGGTCTAACAAAGTATAATGAGTGAGTTTCTACCCTTTTATCTTTCATTCGTATTTCTACAAGTTGAGTTTTCATACAATTTCTTCAGGAGGGGGATTACAATATGATCCAGTCTTATCTAGCTTTCATTGAAGCATGTGTCTGGGATTATTCAATAAAATAGTTTCTTCGCTGTCTATGCATTGCCCCCCCCCCCCAACAAAACTTGGCACCTACCCAAACTGCAGATGACCTCAAATATCAAAAGAAAGCTAAATGATCTAAAAGAGGACAAGATCGCATACTCAGCTACTTACTGAACCTTTTTTTAGCATTGGAAGTTAAAAGATTTCTACCACACAAACAACTCTCAGACAAGTGCATCATGTCAGGCTGACAATGGACCTTTTTAGAAAACCAGTACCACTTCCTGGTTGGTTCATGTTTTTGCTTTTATTAGCTTATCACAGAAACCATGTAAATGAGATTCCCAATATTCGCCAAAAAAAAAAACACTCTATGAACAACTTAGCTGCTTGACCAAAGAGTTCAACACAGAAACACACAGGTCTATGGTCATGAACTAATGCATCACCCATAGTCTCACTATTTATAGATGATGATAGATGTGAAAAGGTGCATTGTGTCTTTACTAACTGGGCAGAAATGGAAGAAACATGCTATTCATTGCTTAATATATTTAGCACTATAAAAACAAAGACAAGCTACAAGATTTTTCAACACTGAATAATATTTACTTCTAAAAAATGCTGTAAGAATTGAGCGATGCTTTATTCTACTAAACAATGGCAACAATAGATAGACAGATAGAGGGGAAGATGAGGGGGGCAGTAGAACCAAGTTTGATAAGTACTCTTTAACTAAAAATTGATGCAAGTATTAGAGCTATAGATTATAATCATGTCAAGCATACTCATCATAAGGCATGTCAGAGCATTTCCAATTTAAATCTGCCAAAGCATCATGGTAACTGCGGCATTCCTCTTTGTTGCGGAGACGGAACCTGCGCTCTTTGTTGCATTCAGTGCATCTAACAAACTCATCACGATGGAATTTCCCATTGTGTGATCTGCTTGAACCATTAGCATTTTTTGATGCTTGATTGTAATATTTGAGCAGTGCTGTCTTGTACAAAGGCACTTTCTCCCCATCAACAATAACCCAGATATTATTCTTCCATTTCCTAGATGTTTCTCTTCCAGAATGTTTCTCAAACGCAGCTGGTGTGAGTTTGTCTAATAACAAGTTGCATATATTAGTAAAAAGCAAAAGTAAATAGCACTACCAAAAGTGAAGACAACAAAAATGACATAATGGAGAACATAAACCATACCTAAAGCAGATATTTTCAGCAGGCAAAGGAGCATATTCAAATGCATACCAAAAACTATAGAATCAACATAGTTGCTGATGGAAAAGTCAAAGCTTGAGAAGTATATATGACTTGACTGCATTGAGCTCTCATACATGGCAGCAAATTTAACATTATTAAATGACTGAATTTAAGCTGTATAACCTTGAAACACCTGAGGCAGCCATTTTAACTATTACAGCTCTCCCTGCCAGTTTTTTCATTTTGAGTAAAAGCTGGTAGTCAAAATTATCCAAATAGAATTACTTGAGATGGCTAAATGAAACGCAAGTCTAACCCAACCCTTCCAATCTAATTACGAAACGGTAAACTTCAAAAGATGGCCATTCCAAGACAACAGTTCCAAGAACAACAGTCTTGACATACTGAAGAATGTACCGTCAGAAAACCTGATTAAGCTATACGCAAAAGTACAAAATGCAATGTGCAGCAACATGTTATACCTCAGGAGGGCAAGCACGCAAAACTTCAATTAGCGAAGATGCTCATTTTTTATAGTAATACAAATGCATAGATTAGATGGTGCTCAACACAGTAAACTAAGTCCTAACAACATTTTCATTCCAAATAGCTTGAGTAACAAAAGCTTTATAAGAACACAACAAACCGTGGCATAGCAATGAAGGTGAAAAGAGCCAATCATGAACCAAAATTAAGTAAAACCCCTCCCACTAAAAGTATACATGAACATTCCACCACCGCATTGTTCAGACAGCAAGAACAGAACTCTGCCTCAAAAAAATCCACACTTCACATGAAAAATAGCTCAAATACAACCATTATCACGTAAACAAATACAATGTAGGTTGTTTCCTTACCGTCAACATCGTTCTCACTGTAATATTCATCCTAACAAACAACAAAAATTTACCATCTTTCGGTCCAAACCTGAACAGACGAACACCACCAAAGAAGGGACTCAAAGAGTCTGATACTGAACTAAGATAACTGATCAAAACTCAACCTCTCCTAGACAAATCAACATACACAACATCTACAAAATCCCAGTACAACCATCCATTGTATGGCGTAAAACAGTGAATAAAACAGATCCCTTTATACAATTTACGCACAAAAACACCTATATTGCATGCATTCAAAAAAATCCCATATCGCATATGAGGTCAAGATATAAACTCCTATGCTGTACATAAGAGTATATGTCCAAGAGAGCCAAGGAAGGATGGGAGGATGGATTGAAGGGAGAGACCTTCCTGACAACCAGGGGTGCATTCACAGGTGATTTCAAGAAAACCAGAAGAGAAAACCCTAAGTCGACCTACAGCATCCCCATATCGGTGGCTGGTGCAGCCACACGTCACCTCTACGTAATCATCGCCATCGCTACCGCCACGGCTACCGCCGCAGCCCCTTTTCAACCCGCTAATATCCCTCACCTCTTCTTCACTAAACAACCTCATCTTCATCGTATTAGCATTAGCAGTATCCTCCATTTCCAAGAACTCTTATCAAGAACACAAAGCTCTGTTACACAAAAAATAAACAAGAAAAAACAGGGCTTTGGATCAGAAAATCGGGGCGAAACGGTGAGAAAACAACAAAAAAAGAAGGAAAAAAACAAATGGGTTCTCAACCACTTGCGTCATACATGAGTGTATATTACATAAAAATGGATGCTTTTGGTTGTGGATGGATTTCAATGGGGAGGAGAAGGAGCCAGAAGCGGTTATGGGCTGGGGAGTTTTGGGGGGTTTTGGGGAAAATCTGCTCAAAGAGCACGCATCTCCAAGGAAGAATAAGTCCGAGAGATCTGGTGAAGAGGAGAGAGCGTTGAAAAGGAAGAGCGTGTGATGTGTGTGTGCCGCTATATAGGCAGATGGTAGTAGTAATACTAGCTAATGTGTGTGATTTTCAGTGTGTGAGAGAGAATTTGGTTTTCTGTTTTCTTTTCTTACCCTTTTTTTATAGTGGGTTTTATTTCTTTATTTTTTTCGTCTTTAGGCAGCGTAGGATATATGATTAGATGTGGATATATTTTCCTTCTGCGGTGGATTGGTTGGTGAGAGCCACAGAAAAGGGAAGTGAACATTGAGTAGTGAATGAGTTGTCTATAGCTTGTACAAATTGGCCTTTTTTTTTCACACTACTGTTTTCTTTATACACTTTGTGGGATTTGGGGGATGGGGATTTTTTTTTGGGGGTGGGCTTCTGTGGGATTGGATGGCAGGATAGAGGGGTGTTTCTGTTTCATGTTTGCATTAAAGGCCAGTTTTCTTGTTTTCTAGACGGAGCAGAGTGTTTTGGCTTTGGAGAAGAAGGAAAGATTTGGTTGGAGAACTAGTAAAAGTTGCAGTCTTGCATGACGACCAGGGATTAAATGGGGTTGGGGACCTGTGTGGGTGGAACTTGGAAGGTATGCAGAAGTGGGGAAAATCCAGTGAGTTTCAGGGTGTGGTGGGGAGGACGAGGTTTTTTTTGAGAATTGCACTTTTTGTCTTTGAATTTTGAAGTGTGGTATTGTAGTAGTATTTTTACTGTACTTTGGAGGAGAAGTTAAACGGTTAAAAAAGGCACTGTATACATGATGGTTTTCTGTGATTCTTTTACTGTTGTACAGTAAAAAATTTTAGTTGTCTATGTACTAGTACTATAATATGTGTGGTGTAGGGACAGAGTTGGGTACTGATAGAATCAAAAAACCACGGGACAGAAATCCCAAAATCATCAGCTAGTTGATCCGCACCGTAGCACGGTCGCAAATCACAATGGGGAGGGGAAAAGGACTATAGGAAATAAGCAAGTAGCATAAAGTTTAGTCATGGCCCTGAGGGAGGATGCTTGAAAATGGTGTTTGCCTAGACGAGTAGATATGGCTTTAGGTACTTTGTTTTTATTTTGGTATTCAGAGCTTTATTCTATGTGATGGTGATATATGTTGCATGCTTAGCCTTGGAAGGCTATTTTTTTTTTTTTGGCGTGATTGGTAATGGACAACTTAGTAGCTCTATGTTTGATGTAATTTGTCATATTTTAGTTGAAAAGATTCTTCTAGTTGAGGGTTTCATCAATTATTTCATATTTTTTAAGCTCAATAATGATGGTAGAAATGATTGCCCTCAACTGATGTGGATGAATTATGTAGGAAGAGAATATATATTAAGTGTTTTTTCCAGCCTATAAATGCTTCATTCAAACGCAGAGGCAATTAAGTACACCATTTTCTTTATAGTATAGCAACTTTTTGCCCTTACACTCTTGCCTCTTTACTTGAATGCGTTCTATTTTTGGCTTGTGATTTTTTGCTGTCCTTTGGAATACAATAGTGCAAAGTGCATTTCTCCTAATTAAGCGTTTCATGAGCTATATATCATCCATTGCGACATGACATGATATGGTGGAATTGTTTTTTCAGTGCTTCTTTTTGGTTTCCACAAAAGGAGAACAATCAACAAACGAGTAGAAAAACTTCTCCACTTTCAGTATGGGTGGAAAGGAGAATTTCCTTTTCTGCAAGAACCATTAACCCTTCTAAAAAGTTGCAGGACTAATAAGGCAAACATGTCCGTTTGGTAACTGTACATTTTCCTTACCAATCCAAGGCTGGTTCTACTCAGGGAAATCATATCAACTACTGTGGTAGTCAATTATTCAAAGGTGTTTTTGACTTGTTCATGATCTCGATATTTCTATAGGCAAAGTCTGAGTTAATACTATATTTTTATTTTGACACTTTTATTTAGACTACAACGTATCAGGCATGATGAGTTTGCGCATAACAAAACATACATGCTGCAGTAGCTCTCACAGAGACCAAAGTGTTGATTGCCATGTGAAGGTGTCTCGTCTTTCCAGCAGATTGAGCCGACTATAGTTTATAACTGCTGATATATATATATGGGGGCTATAATGCCATAGCTCAATGAAAGTGTAATTTAGTATATGATACGTAGATTTGGTTTTTATATGTTTACTCTGATGGTGGCCTCTTTTTGTGTAAATCATACCACATTTTTGATTCTTGCATGTTTGTGATCTCATGTGCTCTACACTTAGCCTCCTCATCTCTTTTGAGGCTCAATGTCTACTGTCTAGTCACCTGCTAGAGAGAACTTAGGTAATATTCTGCGGCGCTTAACTTTTATTTGTATTAGCCTGTTTGAGCAGAAAAGTGAGACCACATTTGCTTGATTCAATAGTACAGATTAAGGCTTTGGCATGTATGTAATGTATGCAATATTTTTCTCCCACCCGCCAACCATGAACACCTCAGGATTCAGGACAACCATCCCTTTTGTTTTTTTAACTAATGTTCTTTCTTTCATGTGGTTCTCTTCCTCAGGGGCAGAGTCAAGTTGCTTTACTTTCGCTTTGCATCTTTTAATCATTTTCCCAGTAGCGTGCGCCGCCATAACGCAAGGCCATGAACCAAACTATGCTACTTCCCAACTAGATACGTAATCTTTAACATGAAAGTCCATAATCAAAGAATATCCCAGAAGAATTTGTGAACTAAAAGCTTGCTGCTTGAAGCTGAAAGTACTCTTTACTCTTGGCTCTTGAGTTCTGAGCAAACATGTTTCAAGGCTTCAATGCTGTCCAGCTATGTGCAAAATCCAGGCTTTGTGGTGTTTGTGAATGTGACAAGGGTCAGATAGTGATAGAATAGGCTGGTGGTTTCAGAGTTCAAGTTGTCTGGAGGGTAGTATTTTTTTTGTTTTCTAAGTTGGCTCGAGTTGTGGGCTCTATCATGTATGGCATTTCTCTTATCATGCTGGTCAACTTGCAACACGCATATATTTATAGATATATATATATAGAGAGAGAGAGAGAGAGAGATTCTCAGAACAGATGTTACACTGTAATTGATATGCTATATGGCAAGATCTATATTCTCAGTTTTGTGCTTTGTAAACCAGTATATGATCCCTGCCAGATGCAAATAATGAATGAAGTATGGTTTTGGTCATTGATGTTCAGACATGTACAGATTACTCAAAAGTAGCATATTTCTCTTCTGGTTACTGAATCTGGAACATTAATTATAGAGAAGATACTGAATTGAAAGTGTTGAAGTATTATCAAAGTTAACGAAATATAAACAGCATGTCTCTCGATTTACTATGGCTTCAAAGTTCAAAACCAGCATAAATTTGGATGGTTTTGTAACAGTGACAGGCTTAAGATGTCCAACTGCATGCCTGCAAGACTATTTAAAGCCCTAGCAAATATTACTACTGCTTTTGGAAAAATTAAAAAAAAATAAAAGTTTGAGAGAAAATTACGTTCACAAGCTAAGCAAGATATTCATGTTTTCAATACGTAACTAATTAAAAGGCTAATATAGCTAGAACTTTGAGATATTTGTTGTGGGAATGTAGTCACAATGATTGTGTGATAAGAATTCAATCACATCACGGAATTTATTTTCCTTTGGATCGTCGAAAAGTCAATTGTTTCAGTGAGCGCGAGTTGATCTTTTTATTGAAAACGTTCTTGATTTTTCGATTCATTCCTTGTCACGAAATCTATTTTTGGCTAAGTATATCCCATCCTTCAATTCTTTACAATTTTTTTTTTTAAAAAAAGGACATATTCCTATATTTACAATAAAATCTAGTCATGCATGAAAATATATTATTGGCTGCATTGTGGAAAAACATTGGAAAATCCGGGTTGACTTAGCAATTTCGGCATTTAATTCCACGCGAGGATGTTCTCTTGTTGACTGCTATTTCAATTTCCAAACTCCAAGCGTGAAGCAGCAGTCTTAAAATACTTGCAGACACAGGAATTATACATTGGATTCTTCTTGAAAACCAACCAATTTTTTCAGCTCGACAGTTGGCCTACCATTTTGAATTAGATAACCATTATTATTGACCTAGCTTTTTTTCATGCTATAATGTTCTTGCAAGTAACTTTACAAAGTATCTATTCCCCCCACTTTCTCCACCTAATTCATTTTGTCTTACAATGACTAAAGTTCCTCTCTTCACACTAGAATCCAACATCCTGCTAGACTTTGTAATGCTGATGTCTATCTATTCTCCTTTATTTCAGGCTAAATATAACAACCTTTAAATGACAAGAGCATCTCAAACAAAGCTTCTACATCAAAAAAAAAACAAGCTATATATTGATACTGTTTCTTTTAGCACATTATAGGACCTATGAGAACAAGAAAATTGCATTTTGAAGTTTGAACCCTTAAATTAGATTTCAAGGTTTGAGAATTAGATTGAAAGTAATTTTTGAACTCATGAGTTCATGGTTTGATAATGCACTCTTGATTCTTTTTATTGGTTAGAAAAACTTTGTCTTTGCCCATAGAATTTTATGTTTCGTCACAGCTGACCGACGCGAGTTTATCAATAACTGTATCCCATTATTTATGAATTATGGATTGTAATGTTATTGAATTGTACTGTACTGAGAACTCATTTGTGTGAGTTGCTTCTAGTCATACTTAAAAAAAAAAAAAAAAAAAAAAAAAAATTTCGTGTTTCGTAATTAAATTTTTTTTTGTTAGGGTAGTTAAATCTTAATCATGGATTAAATTTTGAGTCTCTACGAGATAATTATATTGGTCAATGGCACATTGGAAGGGCGACAAATAATGCGTTAAAACCACCCTCCAAGTTGATGCATAAAAGCTTATCATACCACTAATTACCAATGAAAGCTTCGTGGGTTTGACTGCCTAATTCGAGTTGAATAAGAGAGCAAAAGAAGATATATTTCTTAGTCTTCACCCTAAAATGATTATTAGTGTATGTAATGTTCGTTGAGCTTTCTCCATCTGTATGCATGTTTTTACTTTTCTTTTTAGGCAGCTGTCGACTCCAAGGCAGTAATGCTTGGACTTCATCTATAAAGTGCAACTA